AGTTCAGACCCTTGTCAAACGGCACCTCCAAACTCTAGGTGTGTTTGGAGCTCAGCTACAGTCCTATACACTATAAATGGAGTCTTCATGTGTTCTGGTAAGAAACCACTCCGCTGCTCCCCTGGAATGTGGAATGTCAAACACAGGAAACATACTTGACTGACCATCAAAGACTCCATCAACAAACATACTCCGGACAGAGCTGGCAATTCTTAGCACTGGTCAGCACTGGTCACACAGGTAGCAACAGCGCAACTCTTGTGCTTTTTTGACCCTGCACTTATTTGATTTTTTCCCCTACACCTAACAGTGCAGCAAAGAAAATAGCAAACATTTTGTGCTTGTATTACTGTGGCACTCAGAGGGCCCAAGTGAAGTAAGGGTCCCATCATGCTAAGAGCTGTACAAATGGACCCTGCCCTGAAGAGCTCCCAATCTAAACAGACAAGATAGAAAGGGAGGGGGAATGAAAGTGTCTTACCCAACAGACAGAACCTGGCCTCTGCTCTCCACACTGGCTTCCCATAGAATAGCAAGCCATATTCACGGTCTTGGTCCTTATCTTTATAGTGGTCAATGGCCTGGGACCAGGGTAGCTAAAACATCACCTAAAGTTCAGCAACTCCACTCCTAAGGCACAATGAAAATCTGTGCAGGAGCCACAACAGGAAGGAATCTGGCCCATCAACTCTTTACAGATCCGCAACTGGTGTATATGGGCAGAGCTGCCCAGAAGACAATGCCCATGTACACCAGCCGAGGCCCTGTCCCTTGAGCTCTGCTCACTAGTTTGTTTATGGCATTTTCAGTCTACGCATTTAGTTTTAAGTTTGCTTACATTTTATAGTCAGTGCATATTTAGGTCCCAGAGGGTGGGGCTGGGAATGGCTTGGAGTCCCCTTTGTTCTAAAGGGCTAGCTGTGGCAAACAGGACCAAGTATAGCAATTAGACTGGACAACCACTTAATCACAGCTCAGTATCTCTTCTCCTTTCAATCAATGGCTTAAAGCCAACTTCCCCCATATCCCAGTGAAACAGTTGCAGCCCTGCCCATGGGAATCAGAACACAAGCTAGCCTCATCTATGTTAGGAAATCCACCACGGTTACATGCTGCAGTAAAACATGCTTCTTGAGGCACAGTTGTGTGAATGGGATGTCTTTGTTAAGTTGTGAGATGCGGCTAGAGGAAACATGGTTTAGTAGCTAGAGCACTGGCCTGGGTGTCAGGGGACTCAGGATACGGTCACTGGCTATTTGACCTTAGGTGCATGGGCTCACTGCTGTGCACCTGTTGCCCCTTCCCCTCTTTGTCTATTTAGCATGTAAAGCCCAAATCCTCCTCGGTATTGAAATCAACGGGAATTAGGCACCTAAATGCTTTTGAGATCTGGACTTAAACTGTTTGGGAGAAAGGATGTCTGTGCCGGGCTAGCATGATTGGGCCCTGATCTCAGCTGAAGTCTCTACAAGTGCCATAGTTCAGCTGAAATAATTTACCTGAAGCACTGATCTGGAACCTGGTTGATGAGATGAGGCAGTTAGACCAGCCTCAGGGCTGCTGTGAAGTGCCCCTAAGGGCTGTTGTGGCAGCTAGGAAGTGCCAGAATGCACTTAACACCTAGGCCATGCTGCCAAAAACCACCTCCCCTACAGCACCTGGATTTGCCTCATAGCAGGAAGTCCCCACACTGACTTTAAAAGGGCTTGGCATAGTGTAGAGCTAAGTCTTTAGCAGGGCAGACCTGCCTCCATGACTCTATATGTAACTAACAGCATCTCCAGTGTACTTTACATTCATGTGTTATCCATCATACAGGACTATAGCCTTGCTCCTGCAAAGACTTATGCCTGTGCTTATCTTTATGCACTGTGCATACAATATCTTTTAACTCAACAGGGCTACTCATGCTATGTAAAGCTAAGCACATGTGTAAATCTTGGCACATGTGGGGTGGACTACATCATGTTTGGAAAGCCCCACGTGACACGCAGCATGTCAAGTTGCACCTTCAGGAACATGTCCCCTGACTTCACATCATGTTACACATGTCTCACTTACCAACAGCTCCCACCCTGAGCCACCCTTGATTTTACAGGTGAACAGCAACAAAAGTACTGACAAAAGAAAAGGAGTACTTGTGGCACCTTAGAGACTAACCAATTTATTTGAGCATAAGCTTTCGTGAGCTATAGCTCACTTCATCGGATGCTGTAGCTCACGAAAGCTTATGCTCAAATAAATTGGTTAGTCTCTAAGGTGCCACAAGTACTCCTTTTCTTTTTGCGAATACAGACTAACATGGTTGTTACTCTGAAAAGTACTGATGTTTCTAAATTCACCATTGTTAGCAAGACCACCTGGCCAACGTTCAGAGGAACCAAACAACCGCAGATCTCTCCAACCTCAGGTGGTGTTGTAGGTCAGAACTATTATTTTTTCCTTAATATTATTTATATGAGTCATGACGAGAGGTCCTCCTGCACTAGATGCTGTACAAATGCATAGCGAGGGACAGGCCCTTGTCTGCCGAATTTACAATCTAAGTAGACAGGACAGACAGTGGTGTTATCTTCATTTTACCTATGGGGACTTGCGGTGCAGAGAGACTATATTATTTGCCCAATTTGCACAGGGAGTTTTTAGCAGCACTGGGAATTGAACTTAGATGTCCTGAATCCCAGTCCTGTGATTATCCACAAGATTATCTTTCTCTTGGAGGCAGTGTAGCCTGGTGGCTAGTGCATTGCATTAGGACTCCGGAGCCCTGAATTCTTTCCCTGGCTCTGCCACTGGTTGACCTTAAGCAAGTCACTTCCCTTCTATGTGCCTCTATTTTCTCATCTGTAAAATGTGAATAACAATACTGACCTCCTTTGTAAAGTGCTTTGAGAGCTATGGATGAAAACACTGAATTATTAATAGAAGGAACAAAAAGACTATGTCAAATTCTTCATTGTATAAATAATTTATTTCAGTTCACAGCATTATGTTTCCTCTTAAAAAAAATGCAAAGATGGAAGGAACAGAGGATGGATGATGAGATAAAAGGAAAAGTTACACTAGGTAGCATGGCATTTTTCTTGAGTTCTAGGTACACTGAAGACAGTCTGAAATGTGACTGGCATCTCATGACACCTGCTGAAAAAAAAATTTTTTTTTCCCAAAAACATTGTTGAGAAGACAACCTGGAGAAAATCCAACCTGATTTTAGAACAGCAGACTGCGTAAAGCTTTTCTGTAATAATTGTTTCAGAGGACTCATTATCTGGTCAGTTGCAGACAACACAGCTCAACTCTGCCATGGCACTGAGGAGTAGTCATTACAGTCCTGAAATTCTATAGAAATACCAGTGACCCTGTTACCTACTAATTGGAGAAGTATTTTAACTTACTGCATACATGTACAACTAGTGACCATGACCCTGGTCAGTACCTAAACACATGCCTAAAGTTAAGCACATGCTTCAGTGCTTTTGCTGGATAGGGATCAAATTAGGCAATGCTTAAATAATTTGCTTAATTAGGGCCAGTTTAACTGAATGTCCAGTAAGGGGTCAATCCTGCAACTGCAGGTCTTACTTCCACAAAAAAGTCCCATTTAAGTCAATGGAACTATTTGCCTCAGTAAAGTTGTCTGCAGGATCAAGAATCAAGTCTTGGCGGGGGAGACCCTGTAATTAAGCATTATTTTTAAAGCATGACAGGTTTTGATCAGAACGTTTTTATTTAACCCCTAAACACTTAATATTCAAAACAAAGGTTGGAGCATTTGGCTTTTGCAGTGTCACAAAATAAATATATTCTCTCTCTCAATAGTGTGGAACTACCAAGTGTCAAAGTGCTTCAGAAAGTGTTTCATGTGACGGCAAAGAAAAAAACAAAAAAATCCAATGAAAAACTGTACAGACCCTCCTGAAATGATGGGACCAGCCCACTTCTTAGATTAGTGAAGCAGTCACGACTCCTGTAAACTGGACTCTTGCAGGCATATAAATACCATTTGGTTTCAATATTGGATTCTACAAAATGCTACTGGGAAAGTACCAAGTTCATTGCTGAAAAAGGAGAATCAGCTGCCTGAAATTCACCCTGGTTTTTTCTTGGTTTGGGAAATGCACTCAAGCAGAAAGCCAAATACTTCACTCATCCGAAATTCCCACATGACCATGTTAAGACCAGTGAACCACAGGTGTGGGACATTAGTATGCCAAAAACTGATTGCAGCTGATTTCCAAACTCTCTTCTTGTTATGAAATTCTAGGAGT